TGTTTAGGATTAAGAAAAATCCACCACTGTCCAATACACGCAACTGGGGAGTCTAATATTCTTTCACAAGTGCACTGATATTATTTATTCCATTTTCACAATAATGCAATAGTCTGCATAACAGTAAAATTTTGTGATTTTTTGTATGAATAAAAAATCAAAATAGAAAGCAATAGTAATATAAGAGGGGCCTAGAGACGTGACTAATGAACAGAGGATAATGTTACTTTAGTGCCAAGAATGTCTATATTGTTTATTCTGGGCCCTATTTTGAAATTGTCATATTTTTTAATTTGCGTGAAATTGGCCAAATTGCCAGTTTCTGACCACTATATTGGGTAGTTCAAATCGGTAAATGGGCGGTTTTTTGTACTCAATTGATAGATAAAATGGAGTTCTAAAGAAATAGCTATGAGTTTGGTCAACTGGAACAACGGAATTGGCTAAAAATAGGGCTCAAAGTCGGTGAAATCGCCAATACGAATATGTCGCCAAGACCGCTAACTTCGCGGGAGCGTAATTCCGTGAGTTTTCGACCAAATTTCATACTTTTGGTGTCATTACCATCGGGAAAAGATTCTCTGTCATTTCATAAGAAAAAATAATTTTTGTTTTTTCCAAAAATTTATCGACATAGAATGACAGTTTCAGAAAGGGGCCTGCGACAGTCAAAGGGTTAAAACTCATCCAACCCTCTTCAACCCCCCCACTACTCATCTTTGCACTAGCCCACCTTTCTGCCAGTAGTCGCTTATATGTCACCCGAACTTCTTCTTCCCTTAGTTTATACACTTTCACTTCCCTCCTACTTGTTGTTGCTACCTTCTTGTCCCATCTACCTCTTACTCTAACTGTAGCTACAACTAAATAATGATCCGATATATCAGTTGCCCCTCTATAAACGTGTACATCCTGGAGCCTACCCATCAACCTTTTATCCACCAATACATAATTACAAACTACTTCCATTACGTGCTATATATCATACCTTGTATATTTATTTATCCTCTTCTTCATAAAATATGTATTACTTATTACTAAACCTCTTCCTACACATAGCTCAATTAAAGGTTCCCCATTTTCATTTACCCCTGGCACCCCAAATTTACCTGCTACTCCCTCCACAACATTTTTGCCCACTTTAGCATTGAAATCCCCAACCACAAGTACTCTCACACTTGGTTCAAAAACTCCCATGCATTCACTCAAACATTTCCCAAAAATCCCTCTCTCTCATCTACAATTCTCTCTTCTCTGGGTGCATATACGCTTACTATAACCCACTTTTCACATCCAACCTTTATTTTACTCCACATAATACTTGAATTAATACATTTATAGCCTCTCTTTTCCTGCCATATCTTATCCTTCAACATTATTGCTACTCTTTTTTTAGCTCTAACTCTATTTGAAACCCCTGATCTAATCCATTTATTCCTCTCCACTGAAACTCTCCCATTTGCACAACATCACGCACATTCAGACTTCCCACTTTGACAATTTTTCTTCTTATTCTTTTTAGTAATCTTTACAGAAAAGGGCTTACTAGCCCATTGTTCTCAGCATTTTAGTGACTTTTACAACACGCATGGCTTACGGAGGAAAGATTCTTATTCCACTTCCCCATGGATATAAAAGGAAAAGTAATAAGACCAAGAACTATTAAGATAAAATTGAAGAAAACTCAGATGAATGTGTATAAATAAACATGTACATGTATGTGTAGTGTGACCTAAGTGTGAGTAGAATAGCAAGACGTACCTGTAATCTTGCATATTTATGAGACAGACAAAAAGACACCAGCAATCCTACCATCATGTAAAACAATTACAGGCTTTCGTTTTACACTCACTTGGCAGGAGGGTATCACGTAATGAAAGTAGTTGTTAGATTATGTATTGTTGGATAAAAGGTTGATGGGTAGGCTCCAAGATGTACACATTTATAGAGGGGCAACTGATATATCGGATCATTATCTAGTTGTAGCTACAGTTAGAGTAAGAGGTAGATGGGACAAGAGGAAAATGGCAACAACAAGTAAGAGGGAGGTGAAAGTGTATAAACTAAGGGAGGAGGAAGTTCGGGTGAGATATAAGCAACTATTGGCACAAAGGTGGGCTGGTGCAAGTATGAGTAGTGGGGGGGGTTGAAGAGGGTTGGGATAGTTTTAAAAATGCAGTATTAGAATGTGGGGCAGAAGTTTGTGGTTATAGGAGGGTGGGGGCAGGAGGAAAGAGGAGTGATTGTGGTGGAATGATGAAGTAAAGGGTGTGAAGGATGAGAAAAAGGTAGGTCACGAGAGGTTTTTAAAAGCAGAAGTGTTATAAGAAGAGTAGAGTATATGGAGAGTAAAAGAAAGGTGAAGAGAGTGGTGAGAGAGTGCAAAAGGAGAGCGGATGATAGAGTGGGAGAGGCACTGTCAAGAAATTTTAATGAAAATAAGAAAAATTTTTGGAGTGAGTTAAACAAGTTAAGAAAGCCTAGGAAGCAAATGGATTTGTCAGTTAAAAACTGAGTAGGGGAGTTAGTAGATGGGGAGATGGAGGTATTGGGTAGACGGCGAGAATATTTTGAGGAACTTTTAAATGTGGACGAAGAAAGGGAGGCAGTAATTTCACGCACTGGCCAGGGAGGTATACCATCTTTTAGGAGTGAAGAAAAACAGGATGCGAGAGTGGGGAAGGTGCGTGAGGCATTACGTAGAATGAAAGGTGGTAAAGCAGCTGGAACTGATGGTATCATGACAGATATGTTAAAAGCCAGGGGGGATATAGTGTTGGAGTGGTTGGTATTTTTGTTTAATAAATGTACGAAAGAGGGGAAGGTACCTAGGGATTGGCGGAGAGCATGTATAGTCCCTTTATATAAAGGGAAGGGGGACAAAAGAGATTGTAAAAATTATTGAGGAATAAGTTTACTGAATATACCAGGAAAAGTGTATGGTAAGGTTATTATTGAAAGAATTAGAGGTAAGATATAATGTAGGATTGCAGATGAGCAAGGAGGTTTTAGAGTGGGTAGGGGATGTGTAGATCAAGTGTTTACATTGAAGCATATATGTGAACAGTATTTAGATAAAGGTAGGGAAGTTTTTATTGCATTTATGGATTTAGAAAAGGCATATGATAGAGTGGATAGGGAAGCAATGCGGCAGATGTTGCAAGTATAT